TTGTGACCACTCAGTTATGTTAAAAACTCGTAATGGCTAATTTGTATCTATTAGATATATATGTACATTTATAGATGACCTTGAGCTTAGCATACAAAAAACGAAATGTTTTGATTTTCGTATTTTTCTCAGACCCTTACGCAGACTTTTTGAAAGAATGATTCTAATTTGTGAGATGAAAAGGCAACACATACTGTGAGAAGGACAATCAGCATGCTAATGCTACTGGGGTCTGAGGGCATGCAATTAGTCCAAGCCAAAAAGTGCTAATGGTTCATCAGAAGAATGTAGGCTATGTAGACAATGTTAAATACCATAAACAACTGCACTATAGCTATATAAGCTTTTTTTTTTACATTACAAAAACAGGGGGTTCAGCCGAAACCCCTCGAACCTCCCCTGCGTAGGTGCGTGTTTCTTCTGCTGATGGATGATTGTAGGAAAGCATAAAATAAAAATAGCTGTTAGAGGCTGTAAAATATTTATTAATCTGGTAGAATAATGCATTTAGTTCTGATAATCAATAACTAGTATTTAGTTATCTAAATGCAATTCATTAAGTAAGGTAGTACTTAATAGTAGGGATCGATAAGGTCTCTAAATAATTAATGCACCGGAAAACCACCCTATTGAATTCGTAAGCGAAAAACTGACCATTCAAAGTATTGGTTACAATATATTATGCGCATATATTCGCTAAAAACGTCGCAAGCATTTCCAGTATAACAATTCAAAAATTTCGAAAACAGCAACTTTTTCGTTTACTACTTACATAATCACGTCAGGTTGGCAAATTTAGACAGCTTCATTTAGCTATACGAATCACAATGCCAACCAAAGTAAGGATTGAAATCGTTTTAAAATCTATCCAATTAGTATCACTTTACTTGTTTTTGTACTTTGTTATTGCAGCATTTATTTTGTTTTGGAAATTTCTTTCAACAATGGTTTGGTTTGGTTTGAATTTCGAGCAAAGCTACACAATTTTTATTGTTAATATTTCTCTTTGATTTTGCAAACTGCATGTCTTCCTAATATTTTTAGACTACCTAAATTTTTATTTGAAACTCATTCTTTCATTGTTATTGTATAACACCTATTTAAAACTGTTTCTCATTCCATTTATTTAATTTTCAGATAATAAAGAGAAAATGAAGGAACTTGTTTTTTGGAATAAATATCTTCCCAAAGTAAACTAGTAATTTGATTTGTAAGCATATGATACATAAGCATTAAACAACTCTGGAATAATAGCTTCACAATACTTCAATCTGTCTTTATTTACTACTTCATAATTATAACTTGTAACTTTTGCCTTTGATTCAATCGTCTCCTAATAAGCTTTGTAGCTATAAGTAGCAGGGGATACTGTACTTCGAGATACAGCTCTCCACTGTAAGTTGAGTGTTTTTGAAAAAATATAATTACACTGCTTACAAACCACAATTAATGAAATAAATAATAAATATATTTACATTTGAAATCTCAACCCGTTTTTGTGTAGGTGAAGGTAATGCTACGGATTAGTCCTGTCAGTGAGGATAGTAACAGTACCAAAGAATCCTCATTCCTTACAGTTGATACTAGGAAAAAACAAGTGACACTGTATGATCCATCATCGTGTTGTCAATCAGCGCCTCTTGACCGACAAGTAGGGGTTGCAGCACCTAAGATGTTTGCTTTTGATGCCATATTTGACCCTGATGATACTCAGGTAGTAATTATCTCAGTGTTTTTCATTCTTGTGATTAATACAAAAAAATGATTTTAGAAAATTATATGTGATTGCAAGTTTTTCTTTTTATGAAAAAAAGAGGGAAATTATAAAAAAAAATAATTACAAGTATTTGATATTTGCTTTGAAGTTTAGTTTGTTTTCAATCCTACTTTTCATTCAATCAGTATGACATATTTAGCTGTCTTAAAGATACTGCAGTGGTCGCAAGTGGCTTTATCTCAGACCAAGGAGAACGAAATTTCTTGAAACAAAAAGTATAAGTATTATGCACCATTATATAAAATGATTCATATTTGAAATTGCTAGTTTTCCAACAAATTTTGAGAAAAGCTGTGGATCAAAGAGTCCGGGGTTTGAGACGTGATGCTGGTGAACATGCTCCACACTTCCAACTGTGAACATTTTATAAAAGTAACAGTCAGTCCTTTTATTTGGTTCAAAGAGTTGGATATAGCACTTCAGAAGGCAGGTTGTACTGACTTGGTGCCTAATTCCCTCTACCCAGTAGTTCAAAATTAGGGATGGCTGTACCAGAATCCTAGGGATCTCAGAACTGGCCATTTAGCCCATGTATGTCTTTCGAATTTAATACTTCAGTTCCTTCAAACCTAAGAAAAAATGAAGAAATAAAAATGCAATTGTATTACTCCAAGTTCCAATAATCACTGATACTGTTATTTCTGTTCAACAGAATTAATTACTATTGTTTTTTTCCTCATTTGGCCACCAATATAATGAACATACTTAAGACCATTATGATGCCATAAGAAAAGAAAACATAACACTGGTATGATGAGATATAGAGAATTAAAATATACATTTAATTGGCTAGAACTGATAATTTGTTAAGGCTAAAACAAAAGGAAAACATTACATGTTTCAAGAAAATTTTTATTTAATTGTTTTTGGATACTTGCACAAAGCTACTCAAGAGCTATCTGCACTAGCCATCTAGCCTAATTTTCTACTGATACTAGCAGGAAAGAAGACAACTACTCAACAGTACCCACTGTTAACTCTTGATATACTCTTACTTGACTGAATAATGGAATTTGACTGTTGCCCATAAAATACACCCATGGCCTCAAAGTACAGAGTGCAACTTATTTTTTGTAGAAATGGGATGCAAATGATTGACCTACAGATCTACACTTCTGCACACCAAAGATACCTATGTTTAGCCCTTTTTCAGGAAATACATATCAGATGGTGTAATAATATATCTGTTTGCAGGAAAAAATTATTTTGGAAATATAGCAACTTATCTTACAGTTCTGGTTGACTAATGCATATGAAAATTCAATTTGGTTAAATATATATTAAATATAAACATGATAGAACATACATATATTGGTACCATGTAATATACCTTGTTAGGATTCAATAACTTTAGCTAAGGAAATGTATCCCTGTAATACATTACTTTACATTTTGCAAGAACTCTTCTATTAACCAAGGTATATTTTGCAGTTCACTGCAGCTTTTTCATTTTTATTCTTTAGTACTTAAAATATAAACACATGATTTTATTTTATGCCATTCTCACTTAGGCTGAAGTTTGTTGCAGCTCATTGACTGAGGTCATACAAGCAGTAGTGAATGGCAGTGATGGATGTCTGTTTGTGTATGGTCATTCGAAGCTTGGTATGTTTCTCAAATAAAATTGCAAATTTTATTTTTTAATTATTTTATCAATGCATATAGTCCGATAACTGTTTTCTTATGTGTATTTCCAAGCAAAAATAAAGAATGGGAAAATATAATTTAAAAATGATTCATCAATTGTTCCTTAATTAATTTAATTGAAAATTCAACATAAATCATCTGCCCCATATGTGTTTTTTTCTATTGCTGTCATTATTACCAAAGCAGAGAGAGAGAACAAGATGTTTAGCCTAAGATTGACCTTTCCATTCTTCCCGGTATCCACAGGTAAAACATACACAATGCTTGGAGAGAGCACATCAGTCCAAGAACTAGGAACAATTCCCTGTGCCATTACCTGGTTATTTAAACTAATCAACCAACAGAAGGAAAAGACAGGAGCACGATTCTCAGTTCGAGCATCTGCTGTGGAGATAGCTGGTCGGAGCGAAACCTTGAAAGATTTGCTGAGAGATTACGCTACTGGTGAGCATTTTAAGTATAAACAAACTTTTTAGTATTACATTTAATGAATATCATAATTCATTCATTATCAAAATAGCTTCTGGAAGAAGTAAAAATACGTATTATATTTCTAAAAGGATAAAGATTCACTAAAAGTAGGATTACATTTAGAGATTGTTTAGTCACCACATAGCATAGACAAATTAGTTTTTGACATATATATAATAGTGATGAACTCTTCACTTAGTGTTTAAGCTATTTATTATAGAAAAGGTTTGTGATCTACAACTCAAAACAGACATTTTGTTTTTAAAAACATTACACACGGTTTTGCATAGATAAAATCTGGAAAATTTGGCTTAATATAAATATCTTTTTGACATTGGTGATAGTTTTTTATATCATCACACAATATTGATGTGTCATAGATAAGATTAGTTAACTGCAGAATTATCAATGGAGTCCATGTAATAAGATTTTTAAAAATATTTTTCTGAGCAGTTGAAGTACAGAATTATGTATTGCTTCATTATTGTTTTTGTTACAAGGTCTTAACTTATAAAATATGACTCGTACAAAATTTAAATAAAAATATCATCAATATTTCAGTTAATCTCTCTATTTCATGGGCATCTTATGTATTTTATGAAGAAAATGAGTGATGTCACCCTTTTCAGTTGTTTGCAATGAATATCGTAACAAGCAAGAAGATACATTTACTCAGAATGATGTAATATTTAAACCCCATTGGTAGTGAACAGTATAAAAACAATTTGTGGGTTAAGTAACACATGATAAATACATCTTTTAACATAAATAAGGTTAGTCAGTAACCATACAATAAATAAATTGTGTGTTTGTGGTTTATTAACCTAATGTACACATGGATGAGATGGATGAATCATCAACCAATGTAGAATCATTGAAAAAATTGAATCATGTAAAATTTGCAAATCACCACTCTATAAGTTTCTTTATGACATAGCTAAAATTGGTGAATTTCAAATCAATTTACATGTCTGTTCAATATATAAGACTGATGAATCTTTAACGAATGTTGACAACTTTTTTGTTTTAGATAGGATTAGCAAACCCTACTCAATGAAGGTATTTTTTAACATTATGAAGATTGTTGTATCACTACACAATGCAGGCATAAATTTGATATGAATAAGGTTTGGGAATCTCCTCTGAAAGTATATTTCTGGAATAGATAAGAGCCACATGTTTCCATAGTGTAGAAATTTATTTTAACATAAGATTGATAAAGCTCCAATCAGTGTAGGAATATTTTTAATGTGGACAAGATATATTTTTCTTGCCAAATAATCAACAAACGTCTTTTTTAACATATGTTAGATTGATGACATAACCACACAATATAGATATCTCTACGAATTATATAATACTAGTAAATTTCCATTTGAAATAGACATTTTTTGACAATGTTAAGATAATGAATATATATATATATATATATATATATATTTCACATAGACATACTTTGACGTACATGAAATTCTCAAATCACCACAGAATGTACACATTCATCAGATTTATACTGTATAATTAATATAGTTTTGTTAACTTGACCAGTATTCTTCTTTTTATCTCTATTAAGAATTATAGGTTTACACTCTTGTAGTACTATTTATTGCTACACTTATTGTTTGCTTTTAAAAGGAGAGAAAAAACATACTTGAGATTTATGAACTTTAATATCTGCAACAGAAAACAATAGATTTCTTCCAAAAGAAAGTCCAAGAACAATCCACAATAAACCATGAACAAAATTTCCAGTGAACTTGGCCTTTGTTTCTGTATGTCTGAAATAACTTCAGTTAGAAAGAATATTTAGTATAAGTGAAATTAGTTTGACTACGTAGTTGCTATATATATCCCACAACATTTTGTGGTAGCTTGTAGTAAGTTTAATGTTATTTTTGAAAACTGACAGCTTCACAAAAATAACTGTTACATTAATGAAGCTCACAGTTTTCCTCTGTTTACAGGTGTAGTTTTACCTGTATGGTTTTTACGTACTTATCATAAAGCATTAGATTTTATAAAATGATTTTTTTTTCACCAATGCAAGTGTAGCATGACAACACTTTTAAAAAGAAATAAAAACGCAAGTGTTTATTGTGTTTGTTATAGCAGTATTTCATAAAGAATGAAGTCCTCATAACATCTATACTACAAAATTTTGACTGTATTTCATCTTGTTTTTTAAATTGTCATGTAAGTAAAACGCACACTAAATATGTTATAGGATGAAATATGTTTGGATGATCCATAAGCAAAGTATATTAAGCTAAGAACCAACACATGTCTTTACAATAAGTTAAGTCAAATACACATCTATAAAGTGTAAATATATATGAAACAAAGTGTTAAATTTTCAACCTTTTTACTAAAGTTTACATATTTATAGTTTCATTGTGAAAGGTTGCTTCTGGAGAGTTTCAGAAGGTTTTTCTAATTACAATAATAACTTATTAAGTTGTATATTACTTTTTATAAAAGACATTCTGAAAGTTTTTTATCATTCAGGTACAGAAGGAAGTGGAACTTCCCCAGGTGTTTTGCTGAAAGATGACCCAGTTTATGGCACACACTTGATGAATCAGAGCGAAGTTCGAGCACCAACAGCAGAGAGAACTGCATACATATTGGACGCTGCTATTGCAGCTCGAAACATCTGTGGTGAATATCAGAAGTTATTTGCTAAAAACGATAACATACATAGAAATAAATGCAAGCTGTATTTGTATCAGTTTTTTTTTCCTTTCTCACTTCATTTTTAAAATAAGACAGCATAAGGTATTTATATAATATATATATATATATATATATATATATATATATAACTATTAAAGATTTGAAGTAGAAATATTTAAAATTAATTTATTTTTATTTTCCATTCCTCCTGTCTGTTTGGGGAGATAGATAGATTTTTAACAGCAGATAATTAGGTAGATACGCCTTAGTTATACAGAGAAACATTCAAAATTTTAACAATTTAAAGTTCACTCTTTTATTAAAATTATAACTAACCTGAAATTTCAACTGTTTACAGTTAACTGTTTCACTAAAATTCATAACTTTCAATTAAACAAACCCAAAACTTAAAAATAGCAAAATGTTTTAATATTTTTATATTCTACTACAGAAACGACTGAAGAAAGGCGAGATTCACATTTCATGTTTACTCTTCATGTTTATCAATACAGAGTACAAAAGGGTAACAAGAGTGGTGGTGAGTATTTTATGATTTCTGGTACTTAAAAGAGGTAGATAACAATAGCAGTTTTACTGTTTCACATTTAGCAGTACTGAGCAACAAAGGACAACAAGATTGGTTTAACTATTTATGTTTACTTGTTACAAGTAGCTAAGAATAACAAAAGTGGATTAACCATTTCTCATTTACCAGCACTAATTAAAGAAAAGTAAGATAACAAAAATGTATGGCAATATTTCATGTTTACAAAAGTGGAACAGATTGAAAAATGTTTTGATAAAATTTTCTATGTTTATGAAAAATATAGAAAGGTAACAATAATGGTCTTAAGTATTTTATATATATACCAATATAATATAACTCGGAGTAACAAAGGCACTAGCATAATTTCTTGATCAATGAGAAGTAAATAACTGTTGATAAGCTCCTCATGTTTACTATTAGTTAGTTTTACAAAGTAGTTGTAGAAAAAATAAATTTCCTCGTCATTTGGGATTTGTAGGATAAACACATACAGTATTCTACTGCAAGGTAATTATTCATTATATCAATAATGTTCCAAGTCCTTTATTGTCCTTTGAACTACTACTGCTACTACCTCTGTTGCCCATCTTGCCTCATTTAATGGCCATAATTATGCAATATGACTTATATTACCTTAAACTTCTGTTACAGAAAAGTGAGGTCAATATTAGACCACCATCTTAACAAACTTTCTACAGGCCATTCTACCACTGTATGTGGGTATCCTTTATTATGAGCAGACTAAAAGCACAAAAGCCCATTGGAGATACATAAAGGGATATAATGGGCATAGGATAGAATAGAATTGCTTTGATTTCAGGCCATCTTTCTCACAAAAACAGCTATTGATTTTTGAGTGTTATGTAATTTGGATTTACATGATTTGAAAATTTCTATATAGGAATATCCCTCCTCAGAAAGAGTTGTGGCGCATTCTTTCAGCCATAAGTTTACCCATGGGATTATTACACATCAAATGGTTGGGAAATACATAAATGCTAAACATATCATTTGTGGCACCACATTTCATATATGCAGCAACTTTCTAGTGCATTAGAAAAGCACTTCTTACAAAGTGCTTTTAATGCTTTGTAAACTCTTGATTGTGAATATATTTATCTGTAGTTGTTGGAGGTCGAAGTCGTCTTCACATGATTGATCTAGGAAGCTGTGAAAATCACTTGAAGCCACGTGATGGGATGAGTGGACAATCTTTGTCACTCTCAAGTTTGGGGAATGTTATCATTGCCATTTTCAATGGACAAAAGCATGTGCCTCACAAGTAAGTGTTACTCTGTTAGAATCATATTGTGGTGTTATAAAAGAGGTTATTAAGGATATTGATGAAAGTACAGGAGTAATTATATATCTAAACTGATTATATCTCAAACTATGTCTCTTATGGAAATTCAATTTTACCAGAACCACATTTAGAATCATAAGCTTTGTTCAAAAAATTTTGGGTCTGATGAGAGATATTTCAGAACTTTACGAAACTTTATGACTGAGAGAATATGCTCTAGAACTTGGTGCCAGTAGTTTTTTGTAACTCCATCTACTCTATTAAAATCTTCTTGAATCATTTGGTTTATGAATAACAAATTTGGTTACTCAACTACCTTGTTTCATGCTGACTAAAGACCAGGCTTGCATCATGTTTACAGTTAGAGTAACCAGTTTTTGCTAGTGAAGAAGCTTCCATTGCTGTTGAAAATAATTTGCATATAATGAAAAAATGTTTCCCTTCGATGGTGAGTAGCAAAACCAGTCTCTTTTAAACTTTTCTCTCTTCAGTTGTTCACAATAGAAAAAAAAGTCTGAGCATTGGCACTTATACTTGTCACTGAAATCCACATACAAAAGGTAATCTCCGATGCACAAATAAAATATTTCATGTCATCAGTAACTTGTGTCCATGTCCCAGTGTCAAATGTAAATGATGGGTTAGTATCTTCATCACTATTACAATAACTGATTTCTTCCTGTTGGTAGGGGCTCTGTTCAATTTGATAAAGTCATCAGCATCGAGAGTTGTTGTCTCTGCATGATTGTTTTCACAATCATGGTTGGTGGTTATATTTTAGGCACTTTATAATTAAGGGCAAGGGCTCGATTTGATACGAGGTTGACGGTTATCAGCATCTAGAGATTTAGTGTTTACATTGTTGTTTCCACTGTCTTGGCTGGTGAGGGTTTTAGCACTAGGGAAGGAAGCCCACAAATCCATTAGTTTCCTAGTTTTAGCCATTACTTTCTCTAATTTTTTAATCCTCTTTCTTTGACTTTAGCTTTTCCCAATCGCTCTTGTGTTTGTACATGTGTATAATAGATAAGATGAACGCTCAATGAATAATATGCGTGTTGATGTATAAGCATACTTATACTGAACTGAGAGAAAGATGCCAGAACAAGCTACCTAATAGTTTCATAACAAATGATTGCATATAATTTTTTGTACTTAACTAAAAATTTCACAGTTTGTACTCGGATGACTTGTATTCTATACCCTCCAATTAATGATGCTTGTCAAGTTGTCAACAAATTATTTACAGTTGATAAAGTCCACAAGTAATTATGGATTTTTACAGGATACCAATTTGCAAGTTCTGTTCAAGAAATACAAACAATTGATACAATATATCCTTAAAGCTTAAAATACTGTTACTTACATAATGATGTAATGATGTAATACTTAGTGATGATTGAACTCTTTTTTCCTGAACAACATTCAAAGCCTTTGAGACTGAAGAATCCAAAGTTAGAGAAATCTTCAATGTAGCCTAGCAACTTGGGTCTAGTCATATTCTAGGCCTACTGCTTGATTGAACTATAAGAAACGGCATGATGGATGCAAGCCGCTAGGGAGGAGCTTGGCTGACAGCATAATGAAAATATGAAGTGGAAAGATTTTGATTGGCTGAGGCCTATCATTCGATTATTGTAACATGTCTTTTATTGCTTAGACTTAGTATATTTGCATTGCAAATTGTATGTAAATGTGTTAGGTCAGAGCGGAGCTACACCTAGTCGCACTTTTCGGAGGCAAGTCAATCAAATCTCTGCACTCTACACAGCATGATAGTTCTACCTACATCATACACAAACTCTTTCTGAAACACTCTTGCCTCTTCTCATCTAAAGCTATCTCGATCCTGGACTGCCCTCTAAGCATTGCTAAAATATTTTGCTAACATCACAGCAGTCTTTTATATCCCATCAGTTTTGTGCCATTTCAGAACATATGCCCTCCACCAACCATACTGCACTCTCTATACTATTCAAGAGTAATCCTCACTTTCTCGATTATCATTCTAGTATATAGACATGTGTTTTAACTCACTCTCCATGTGACTACCAAATTTTGATTGTGCTTGATCATAAGTTTATATCAGTTTTGACTTTTTGTGTTTGATATCCATTGTTTTTACTCATTTGTTTTAGAAGTATTTCTATTTTACAAATTCTAATGTGTTCATATGAATTCGTGATTCAATAAAGTGGATGATGTACTTCCCATGATGATATACAATGGTTCTGACACGAATCCTCATATCTCAGGGTCTATGATATCTGCTAGGGAAGTGCAGGCTTTGGTTCGGGGGGAATTTGTATCATACGTTTAGCCAACAATTTCTTCCTTTCACGTTACGTTTTTTTAGAATAAGTATATAAGTACTGAGTGAAAATTTCTTTCTGTGGCACTTTCCACCTATTACCATACCTACATTTAATCTTCTGGGTTAGGAATTGTTCTTTTTTCTGGGAGATCTGTAGTAAGTTTTCAGCGTATATTTCTCACTTCCAGTAGGTATACCCATGTTTAGCAAGTTTATGTGAGCTTGTATGGATTTTAATTCTTCAGAGTAGGTTTTATTTTCGTGTTCTTTGCCTTATTAGTATAGTGAACTTATAAATAAATTCTATATTTATGTATATTTTATCTTCTAAGTTCCTTTACTAGTTTTGTACTTTAGGTGTTACTTATTGATTTAAGTTTTAGGTCGATTTTCATATGTTTGCAAGTTCGTTATTTCTATGTATTTTTTAGTCCCTACAAATTTCTAGGTTTTGTTAGTTTATTAGTCATAAGTACTTTCTCTAAGTAAGTTTAGTTTGTGTCTTTTTGGCTACACCTCATGACAGTTCCTTAGGTTCTGCTTCTTCCCTATCCATTCTTCACCGCACTCAATATTTTATTCCATTGGGGGTTTTTCTTCCATTCCCTTCTCCATTTTGGCTAAGGAATATGGTGTAGGTAGTCTCAGTGGCCCTCCCTTCTTCTTTTCTCTTTGCATGAGGGGTTCTCTCTCTCTCTTTTGGGGATGTGGGCTTCCTGGGAAGCTCTCGTTGCATTCCCTTGGGCTGAACTCACATGCATTTCCTTCAGTGGACACTTCTCGACCAATAGAACTTCTCCCACAATCTCTTGGACTATCCCATTACCATTTCTTCTGGGATCAAGGCCAACCTTGCTTGGTGGCTCAACAGGGAACTGACCATGGTGGGGGTTCCCATTACTCCACCTTGTCTGGGGTCTCATCTGTTTACCTATGCTTTTTCTTGGTGGTTTTGAGGGCTTTCCTCGATTCCCATGAGATTTCCGGTCGATGGTCTGTCAAGAAGACTGTTCCCCATTTAAACTTCCTGAAACTTAGGCAGTTTGTCGGGCTCTTTGTCATTTCTTCCTAATCATGACGGGGCATAGTTATGGTTGTTCATTCCGGTTATTCCACTATTGTCAGCTATATCGCCAAGCAAAGAGGAACGAAATCCAAATCTCTGTGTTTTCAGATGTTGGATCTTCTTTACTGGGCCCATGACCACTACATTGTTATTATGGCTGTGTCATGTTCTTGCTGTCATGAATCAACTGGGAACACTGGATATACATGTGTTTGCCACTCACTGGAACTCCAAAATTCCTTCCTTTTGGTCTCTGGTTCCATACCCTTCAGCTCCATCAGCAGATGCATTCATTCAGATTTGGAGGGGTCTTCACTTATATACCTACCCTCCAATCTGATTCCTCCCCAGAGTTTTTCCTTTCTCCAGACCATTCTTTGTCGTGTCATGCCCATTGCTCCATGTTGGCCTGCTCAGACATAGTTCCTTCTGCTCTGGCTCTTGCTGAAGCAACATCCCCTGCCCTTACTTCTGTCCCAATCTTTCCTCCAACAACCTCAATCTGACATGGTTCATTCTGATGTCACCCAACTCCATCTGCACCCGTGGCTTTTGTCTGGTGTATCATCTTTCCTTGCCCATACCTTTCGACCTTCCTCCTTGTCTGTGTACTAGTGACTTTAGTCTTCCTTCAGACTTTGGTCCATTCATGGTGGCTTCTGCCCATCCCATCCTTCTGTTTCTCATCTGTCCCAGTTCTTCACCTTATTGTTTGATCAGCATTTGTCTCTGTCAACTGTTGCTTGTTATAAGGCTGCTGTGTCCAACACCTTCCATTGTTCCTCTTCTGGAATGACTTCTCCTCCTTGGTTATATCCTTCATTTTCTGTTCCTTTTATCTGATCCATCCACTACATCCCATTGTTTTGCCAGGTTGGGATCTCAATGTTGTCTTCATACCCTGTCCAGTTCTCCCTTTGAACTCATTGCAATGTGATCCTTGTACCTTCTTTAGATGTATTTCTTCATTCTCCTGGCACAGGGTTGTTGCCATTAATGTTTCCTGCATCCTTCACTATTCCTTGTGTGTTATCCTCTTATCTGGATCGGCCCTTCCTTCCCAAAACACCAGCTACCCGGGAAGGTTGTTTAGCCTTTTCTTCTATTTCCTTACTTTCCATTTCCCACCTGTACTACCAATCAGATCCAGATCAACTACTTTGTCCAGTTTGTTCCCTGCTATGTTATGTGGCTCATACTGCCACCTTTTTTGGTTTTCGTTCCCATCTATTCGTTTCATGGAATTCCTCTGTTTCCAGTGATCTACTGCCTATTGCACTCACTGGTTCTGTTCATCAGCTCATACAACTGATGTATTCTGACTTCTTTATGGTAGGTCACCATTTACATAATGTTTCTTCTCACCACATTTGTCACCTAACTATGATTTTACTTGATCAAAGCTTCCATCCTTTGGAGGAGATCATTATGACTGATATGTGGACAACGTCCAATACATTTGTCACATGTTCTCAGCTAGACCTACCTGTGTCTTCTGTGGGTGGGTACCTTCTTCCTCCAGTGATGATTCTACACACGTCTGATTGCTTTTGACTAGAGTAAGTCGATATATCATTATTTTTTCTCATATTTAGTTGATCAGCATCATATTTCAGGACCCTACCTGGTGGAAGGTGTTGCCTGGTCAGATATGCTTAATATTATATTAGCAATAAATATGTATACTTCTGTAATGCTCACTGTTGAGATGGGGTGTTTCTGTAAGACCACCCAGATGTGTGTGT